TTTTTTCGCGAATGAACTGTTTAAAATATAGTTATAAAATTGGACAATATTTTTGTAGCATAAATAATAAGAATGGATAATGTTTTAAATAATAAGTTTGAAAAAAAAAGAGTTTTGGGTACTTATTTAGTCAATAACGGCTGGCAAGAAATCATTACTTATTCGCTTATTTCGTCTGAAATGAAAAAAGACTTTTCTCCCTCGGAGGATAATGATTTTTATCAGTTGTTGATGCCGAAGAATGAGTATCATGAATACTATCGGAAAACGCTTATCTCCAGCCACTTGAAAACACTAAAATATAATCTTGCCCGCGGAAATAAAGACCTCTTTTTTTTTGAAATTAGTTCGGTTTATGGTCCTTCCCATAAAGAGGAATTACTCATTTTGAGCGGAATAGGTAATTTTTTTCGTCAACCTCTTCATAAATTAGTTCAGAAAATAGATTTTTACTGATTAAAGGGAATATTAGAAAATATTTTTGAATTATGACAAATTAGTTCCCATATTTCTTTTATTCCTGTCTCCCTTAACTACTTGCATTCTCCCCAAAGTGCAGAAATATTCCTCGGTAAAGAGAGAATAGGTTTTTCAGGCTTCGTTCATCCATTAATATCCCAAAAATATCAAATTAATGATGTGGTGTTGGTCACCCAAATCTCTCTAACCAAAATTTTCAATTACCTTAGTAATTATCCTCCTCAATTCCACTATCGTCCAGTTTCTAATTTTCCAACTAGTACCAAAGACTTATCATTTATTTTTCCCGAAAGTATTGATTATAGTGAGGTCATTAAAGTAATTAGGGAAGTGGCGTACAGTAATTTGCAAGAAATAAGTGTTTTTGATATTTACCAGAGTGTTGAATTAGAAAAAGAAAGCAAAAAGTCAGTCAGTTTCCATTTAATTTTCCAAAGTTCTATTAAAACCCTAGAAAATAAAGAAATAGAAGAAATATTGCAAGATATTGTTACAAGGGTGGAAAGGGTGTTTGCAGCAAAACTGAGGGATTAATAAACTTTTCCCCCTTTCTCACCCAAACAATACCACTAGCACTATCAAAACTAAAATATTCCTCCACCACTGGCTATTTTTGCCGGTGAAGAAAAACCATTATTGATATTATTTTTTGCTCTTGGATATCTGGCTGACTTTGCTGTTGAAAATCTTTTATTTTTTCTTTACTATCTAATTTTTTTATTTGTTCCTCATTTTATTTGTTAATCTTCTCTTTCTAACCACTGCCAAAATGGCTATTATGACTACTCCTAGTAAAGTAATCGGTACCACTACTTTTCACGGAAAATCGTCAGCATCAGGCGACTTATTATAAGTGAAAGAACCACTTTTCAAACTTGATAATAGTTCATTAGCTTGGGACTTATATTCTCGATAATAAATGTTATCGCTAGTAACAAATTCTTCAACTTCCTGATTAATTTTTTCTTTTTCGGCAGAGTTTTTCATATTTTTAAATTTTTCTTGAAGTTGTTGATATTTCTTTTGAGCCTCTTTTTTATTTATTTCTTCATTAATTTTCTCTTCAGTTGCAATAATTTTTTCCATAGCCGCATGGTAATCTGTTAATGATGATTTACTAATATCTTCTTGATTTTTCAAATCTTTTAGTTTTTGTTGAGTTTCAGTTGCCAAGTCCTCCACTTTCAGGTCAAGTTGGGTCATTTTATTTTTAATAATTTTGGCAACTTTTCTACCATAACTCCAAAAACCTAATCTTCTGATGAGATTTTTTTTAAATTCCCTAACTCCCTCTTTTTCTTTTTCGTAACCCTCTTTACCATTAAAGGACTCGACTTTCTCTAAATCTTTCTCCAACTCTTCCTTGCCTTTGCTTAAAAAAGAACTTAATATAATATTTTCAGTCAAAATATTTACTAATTCCTTTTCATTTTTTTTGGATTTCTTAACAGTTTTAATAATTTTCATAACGTTTTCGATAAACGCTATCCCTTCCTAACAGTTTCTCAAGTTCTTCATATTTTGCATTTATTTTTTTGATTTCGTCGTTGTATTCTTTTATTGTTTGATTTACTGGTATTGACATAACTATTCTTGTATTTATTATTAATTTTATTTATAAGGCAGTTTGGGTTTTGCTCTATCATGCTTCCTCATTCGGTAGCAATCTATTATCCCTAAAATATGTGTTTCATTGTCATCAAAGCACCAGACTAATTTATAAGCCTTAATTTTATTAGAAGTTTCAAAATACTTAAAAACTCGGTGTGAATAATAGGTTCAATGGTAATATTGTCCTTCTGAAATTATATCTTCTTTTCCGTCTAATTGCTTAATGAATTCTTTAATTAAATCATCGGTGATTAATTAGTGGTTAATTTTTTAATACTAAAATTTTTCAAATCTAGTTTTCTTTCACAATTACTGCAGCGGGCTTTTCGCAAAATAAATTCTTTTACGTCTGTTCTCCCATCTTCTTTGCGTTCTTCTTTATCCTCTCAGTTTTTTATTTCCTCTTTTTTCTCAGCAGCAATGTCTTCTATTTCTTGGTCAAGTTTTATCTTTTCTCTAATCAGTCGACTAAATCACCGATAGTATTTAACTGTTTCCAGTTGTCCTGAAATAATCAATTTTCCGTCCTTGAAGAGTTTTTTTCACCTTCTTTCTTCGATAGTGTTATTATTTAATGAATAAGAACGAAAAGAAGAATTAATCCGAAAGTTTCAATTAAAACAATAAGGACAAGCGATTTGTTTGATTTCATCAATTTTATCAATAAGTCCGCCAATTTTTTCTTTGATTTCTTTTTCTAGTCCTTCACCACCCTTAATGAGTGATTTTTCTAATTCTATTAAAGGAATTTCTAATTTAGTCAATTCATCTATTTTTCCTTTTAGTTCTCCCAAATCATCCAAACTACCTTTAATATTTTCACCTGTTCCTTTTAATTCCTCCCCAGTTTTGTTCAGTTCCGCCAAACCAGTAGTGATATTTTTTAACTCTCCTTCAATGGCATTTAATTCCTCAATAGTTTTGTTTAGTCCTTTAATTTCTTTTTGTATATTTTGTAATCCCTCTTCTACCTCACTTGCTAATTTAGAAAAATTTCTTAATTCCTCTTTCACTTGTTTAGAAAAATCATTGAAATTATCACTAATTTGATGAGAAGAATATCAGTGCAAAACCAGCAAAGAGAATAAAAAAATATTCATCATTAGTAAAAGAAGTAAACTAAGTTTGCTGGTTATCCCATTTTTATCTTTTTTGAAATAAGCCATGCTCCTTGTTAATAATGAATGTTTTTGCCATTTTTGTTTTAATTATATAATTTTATCCTAATTTTAACTAGAAGACCCGCAAATTTCTCTAAGTTGAGAATGCTGCTAAAAACATTCTCTACAAAGCACAAGCGGAGTTAGGAAACTTGCCCTCCGAGAGGGTACAAATTTGTTAAATGAACTCATGAATAGCAAAATGCTAGTTGAACCATTAGAAGCTTCCTACTTTTATAAGTAGGGTTAGTTTGCTTCTAAACGACAAATATTTAAAATTACTTAATAAAGCCTGCGCTCGTAGTTCAGTGGATAGAATATTTGACTTCGGATCAAAGGGTCGGGGGTTCAAATCCTCCCGAGCGCGCCATTTTCATAATATAAAAAATATAATAATGATGCTGGAGGAGATTTTAACCCAATGTCTTCGACGCGGAAGAAGAATTTTATCGTTGCGAGATGTTCAAAGTGGTGAAAAAATGGTAGTTTAAGACGGCGTTTTTTGTCTTTGTTATTATTTTGTTGTAGTATTATTAGTTCTTTATTCAAATGAAAGGGTAAGGCTAAATAGTAAAAATATCTTTATATTAAATTATGTTTGACTGGCTAAAAAAATTTCTGGAATGACCCGATGGAGGAATTAAAAATATTAGTAGTTTGGGCAACTATGTTAAGAATTATTGGTGAAAACTATTAATTTTCATAATTGTCGTTATTGTCGTTATTTGAGTAATAATAAAAATCCTAAAAATGATTATTTCTTTGACAAGGAGCAATTAAATTAGAGATTTGAATCTTGGAATAACTAATCTCAAACAAAAGCAATCTCCCAAGCATTTTTTTACTTTTGCCATTATTTCGGGACTAACTACTCCCAATTTTTTCTCAAATCTTATTCCTTTATCTCAGGTAAGAGGAAAATCACACAAAATCTTGCTTGGATAGTCCAAACCAGTTTCCGGAGTATTATTAATAAAAACTTCCACTGGCAAGATATTTTTAATATCATCAGTAGTCGTTGGCACTGCCACCGCAGAATCACCATATTCATTTCGTTCGTCATTGCTAATTATTAAAACTGGACGATAATCTTTTGCCAGTTCTTTAATTCGCTCTGGATTTTTTAATAATCAAATTTCTCCTTTTTTGGGAATATTATTTATTGTCCTTAACATCTTTTTTTCTCGTCCAACTAGTTCAGTAGATATGTCTTCTCAGGACATTTCTCCATAAAATTCGCAATGCTTTTCGTAAATCTTTGTTCTTAGAACGTGGATTGATAACCAACGATCAATTTTTGCCATAATTCTTCCCTTTGCTGTTGCTGAATTTGGGCTAATTTTTCTTCCACGGCTTCATTAACAAAACGACTAACTTTGGCACCAACTACTTGGCGGAATTTATTATAAGTTTTCTCCTGAAAATAAATATTTGTATTACGGCCGACCATAATACTATTTTTGGTATGCCTTTACCAGTTTTACAGAAAGTATTAGGACACTCGAAAATTAGCACCACTGCTCTTTATATCCGAGATGACGATTTAAGTAATTTAGTAAAGTTTAGACCAGTTTAAAATAAATAATTCAATTTTATGGTTAGCAAAAAAGATAGCATTTTTTCGCGTTTTTGAAAATGGATAAAGGAATTGATTTTTGGTAAAAAAGAGTTAAAAATTAACAAAAAAACCAATAAGAGTAGTAATAAAGGTGGAAAAAACACCAACTCTCCTCAAATTATTGGTGATAAAAATATTGTCAATATGACTTTTAACGATAACCGAATAACTTATATATACAAAAACCTTCCTAACAAAGACACGATTACAAGCCCTAATTTTGTTGTTGAAATTGAGAAAAAGGATCAGAAAGAAAAGTTAAAAAAAGAAGAAAGAGTCGCCAAACAAAACCAAGAAGAAAGTAAGGAACAATCAGAAAAAAAACGAGAGATGTCCCAGCAAGAATATGAGAGATTGCTTATGAAAGTAAAGTTCATAACCTTTGGAATAATGGGAAATATTAAATGAGACAAAATAAAGTCATTAGAATTTAAAAAAAATAAAGAAGGTAAAGAATTTGCCCAGTTAGCGTTTGAAGTTGAAAAAAAGAGATGTTATATAGTGTATGGGATTTCAGAAAAAGATAAGCAAAAGTTCCTGAAAACCAATACTTTTGAGATAGTAGAGAGATTTATTGCCCAACGTTTAGTAAATTACGGGAGGAATGATTATTTTGACGATAAATGTCCAGAGTGTAAACAAACCGCTCTAACAAGATCACGAGTGGTAGGTAGTCCTATTTATAAGGAAGCATTAAGTTGTGTTCTTTGTAGATGAGTAAGAGCCTAAGGAACATAATCATTCTTTAGAATTTCCTGATTGACTAGAAAAGCGTAATAGGTGATGATTAAAATATTACCCTACAAAAAATTAATGTCAGTCTAAACTAACTATTTTTCTACCATCAACCACTTTTGTAATCTTTCATCTCAAACAATCTTTTTATCTTTATACCTTTTATTAAACTTCCTTTCATTTTCGCAGAAACTAGAATGAGAAGTAAGATTACCAGATAAACAAGTTAAAGTGTCTTTACCTCATTTATACTTTTTGCACTTAGTCATAATAATTATTTTTACACAATTTACACATTTTTTACAACCTAGAGGTTTTTTAGCAAACTCTTAAAATAATTCATTATGATAAGTGTTCAAAAATGACTAATTATTAACAATTTAACAGCAAAATCTCTCCTAAATAAATCATAGAATTATGACCAACGAAAGAAGAATGGAACACTGAGTCTTGAAAGACTTAGGAATAGATTTAACCAGTGAAGAGAATGAGAAGTTTTGAATTTATCCTCAAGGCAATACCCAAGACCCTTTGGTTAGTAAAACACTAGAAAATTGTGGTGGTAAACCAAAACATTGCCCATTAACAGAATATCTAGAAATAAAAGAAAGTAAAGGTAGAGGTAAACCAGAATATATTTTTCGACACAAAAAAACTCCTACTGTCTTGTTAGTAGAATGCAAGACGGAAACTGCCAACCATCAATCAGAGCAATTAGACAAGCCTGCTTTAAATAATGTCGATGGTTTATTGTATTATGCTAAGTATTTTAAGGATGAATTTGATGTTTTGGGTTTAGCAATTAGTGGTTGAGAAAGAAATAATTGTAAAATTAGTTTTTTTATTTGACCAAAAGGAGAGGAAAAATTTAATTCCAAAAGTATTCAAAAACACGAAAATGTTTGAAAGATAGAAGAATATTTTCCTATTGAGGCAAAACCTAATCAGGAAAGTTTAGACATTGAGAAAATTAGGGAAAGTGCTGATAAACTTCATGATATTATTTATCAAGGATTAGGTTTTACTGAAAAAGAAAAACCATTTTTTATTAGTGCTTGTTTAATTGCTCTTAAGAATGAAGATTTTCGGAATGAATTTACTAAAAAAACCACTCCTAAAAGTCTTGTATTGGCTTGTAAGGCGGCAATTGAAACAGAATTAGAGAAAGTTCAAGAAGAGGAAAAAGAAAACAAGAAGTATGAAGATTTGAAAAACAGTTTAAAAAGGGTTATTGGCAACAATGAGAAACTAGCATCTATTCCCGCTAACAAGAAAAACTCCTTTGCCAATATTTTGTGATTAATCAATACTAAAATTTGACCTTTTATTGATAAAGGTGATGTTGTTGGTGAATTTTATCATGAATTTCTAAAATACTCTACTGGTGACGGCAAAGGATTAGGAATAGTTCTAACTCCCTCCCATATTGCCAATTTATTTTGCGAGTTGGCTTTGAAAATGTTAGGGCGAGAAAGATTTAGTGAAGAAGACAAAATATTAGATATTTGTTGTGGAACAGGTTCTTTTTTAGTCAGTGCACTAAACAAAGGAGCAAATAGGGAAAATATCTATGGTATAGAAATTAATCCTGATGTCTTTAATCTATCCTTAACTAACATGATTTTATGAGGAGATGGCAAATCACATATTTATCGTAAAGACTGCTTCGATAAAGAAATAGTAAAAATAATTGAAGAAAGTAATTGTAATATAGGAATTCTCAATCCTCCTTATTCTCAAAAAAAGAAAAAAGAAAGTGAAGGTAAAGCCGAAATAGAATTTATTGAACATTCTCTCAACTTACTAAAAAAGGGGGGCATAGGAATAGCCATAGTGCCTTTATCTGTTGCTATTGGCACTAAGTTTAAAGAAGAGCGAGAAAGAATTATGAAAAGGCATGCACTTGAAGCAGTAATGACCATGCCCAGTAATTTGTTTGTGGGAAATAATAGCGGTAGTCATACTTGTGTAATGGTTTGGAGAGCTAAAGAAAGACATAATAAAGAAACCCGCTCAACCTGACTAAGTAATTGAAAAGATGATGGTTTTATGATTCTAAAAGGAAAAAGATTTGATAAGAATAATCAATGAAGATTAATTAAAAAAACTTGAAAAAATAACTTTCTTGAAACGAAAAACAAATATAATTCAGTTTTTGAACATTTGGATTGGGAAGACTGTTGACTTGCTGATGCTTATGTAGAAACTGATTATTCTCAATTAACAGAAAAACATTTTGAAAAAACTATTCGAGATATTTAGCATTTCGGATTTCCATTTTAGAAGAAGAAAATGAACAAAATTAATATACATAATTGGAAGCAATTCTCCTTAAGGGATGAAAAATATTTTGAGATTTATTCTAGCAAAAAGGGGGTAATTTTAGATGATTATACTTTTTCTCACACCAAATCCAAAAATGCAGTTCCAGTAATTACTTCCAGTGGGCAAAATAATGGTTTTGTTGGATTTATTGCTAAGAACAATGAAGAAATCTTACATTCTAAGAATACTATAACGATTGCTAAAGATGGAACTCATATTGCCTTTTCTTTTTTTCAATCTGAGGATTTTTATGCTAATCCTTTAGTGTTTATATTGAAAGTGAAATGTGGTAATAATAGAAAAATAGAACTAATTAGTTTTTTTATATGTTCGATAATTAAGATGGAACATCCCAAGTATTCTTATGGAAGAAAACTGAATATAGATAATTTACTAGGAATAAAAGTGCTCTTGCCTGCTGATGAAAAAGGCGAACCAGACTGATTATGAATGGAAAATTTTAATAAAAAAATATTTAATAAAGTTAAAGAAGATATCATAAAATTAATTCATAGAGAGAGAGAGAGAAGATTAGTGTTTGCCTTGGTAATTGAAGCGAATTTCAAGTCAGTGATTATTTTTATGCTTCTAGCACCAAAACCACTAAAAAAGAAGATATATTACCAGGAGAGTTTGCTTACATTACCACTAAAAATACCTTTAATGGTTATGAAAGTTCCTCACATATTTGAACCGAAGAAGGAAATGTTATAAGTATAGATAGTGCTACTAATGGAGCCTGTTTTTACCAAGAAAAAGACTTTGTTGCTTCCGACCATGTAGAAAAAATTTGACCTAAGAACAAAGAACTAAATCAATACAAAGCTCTTTTTTTAACCACCATTCTAAACTTTGAGAATTATAAATATTCCTATGGTCGAAAAAGAAATTTAGAGAATATAAGAAAAGAAAAAATCCTTTTACCTAATAAGCAAAATAACGTCGACTGAGAATATATGGAAAGTATGATAAAGAAAAAATGAGGAGAAATTGCCACTAGTTTTAAAAAAGAACTAGAAAGATTAAACCAATAAACAACAAACAAACTCCTTACTGCTATAAAATAATATATATAAATAAGTCTATATAAACATGTTTAAAGAAGTTCCTAATTTAGAAAAGAACTGTTATCAATGTCATAATCAAATAATAGTCAAATATATTTATCCAAAAAAAACTTATTCCAATAAGAACAATTGAGAATGGTGAACTGAAGATAAAAGTAACAAAGATAAGTTTATTTGCGATGGATGCTTACTAAATTTCTACAACAACAAAAAAACCGAGTATTTAAGAAGCGTAAAAAATACTACTAAACGCAATACTATGCGAAACTACATCTGTAAAATTAGAGGAAACTACTAATGTTTATTTTTTATCTTTTTATATGTTTATATAGATATGTTTATAAATAAAAGAAATACAAACTTAAAACAAGAGCAAATAGTTAGATTGCATCAAGCAGGTCTTTCTCATTATCGAATTGGAGAAATATATCAATTAAGTGAAAGAACTATTTATCGTAGGAAGAAAGGAACTAATAAAACCAGCAATAAAAGAGGTCGGAAGACTATAATCACGGATGACATTCTTGTAATTCTACTTGATTATGTGAGTAAGAATAACACTAAAACTCAACAAGAAGTATCAGATTACTTGTTTAAGGAAACTGGGATAATGATTAGTCAGCAAATTATCTCTTATACTCTAAAAAAGCATAAGATTACTCGAAAGAAAATAACTTATCACTATTATGAAAGGTCAGATAAAAGAATTGAGGAATTTAAGCAAGAAGTTAAATCTTTGCTTAATTTACCTATTTATGCTTTGGATGAGTGTAGTTTTCGTTTAGGAGAATCACCGAGATATGGATATTCGCAAAAGGGTAAGCGAGCAGCTTCACAAAGAATGGGTAAAAGGAGTATTAGTTATACTTTAATCTTGTGTATTCAAAATGTTAAGAGAAATGGGGTATTCGGTTATGAATTGATTGAGAGTGGTGCTAAAAGTAAGAATTTTCATGGTTTTCTTTCGAGACTTGATTGAAAAGGCAAAGAAAATTATCTGATGATGGATAATGCTCGAGTTCATCGAGCAACTAAAAGTTGTCAGAAATTAGGATTATCAACTATTAGAGAGTTGTTGACAAGTAAGAGAGTAGAACCTAAATATTTGCCTCCTTATACGCCAGAACTGAACCCAACTGAACTATGTTTTAACTTTTTGAGGCAACAAATAGAAAAACATAAACCTAAGGCTAAACGAGATTTAGAATTAGCAATCAGTAAAATTATAAATATGCTCAATCGAAAAGACATGACTAAATATTTTAAAAAATGTTTTGAAACTGACATTGATTTTTTGTAGGGTAATA